AACGTACGACGCGCGCCAAAGCATAAGTGATGTCAAAGTGTATACAAAGAGTGAAGCAATAGTGCGTTTAATGCTATGTGCTATAGTGTCTCTGTTGATGTTGATCGCTGACGTTTATAGTGGTAGATCGCCACCTTCAGTAACTCGCGCGAAAACCGACATAGTCAGGCTTGCCACACGTTAGCTATTTTAGCTATTTTCGACTATTTTAAAAACCGTAGCTATTTTCAGCTATTTCACGAAAAATTTGCTATTTTCAGCTATTTTGAAATTTATGATGAAAATAAAGAATTAACGGTATTGAAATGCAATATGATCAACATGAATCATCGAAATCTCTGGGAAATCAAACAAATACAGCTGTTGAATTTACTGACGATAAAATTCGTTTTGTTTATTGTTGATATACTTCGTTGAAACATACGATAATCAATGTATATATTGGTTGGCTTTTTTGCTAACTCAGCAAAGAATTATTTTGCTTGGTTTGTCATTATAAGTAACGTTTCGAATTGAAGACAATTGCGCGAAATTATTTCAATTATCATATGATTGAATTCAGTCGTCTTTCAGCAATGAGTGCCAAAGGAACTAAATTCAGCCAAGAATGGCTAAAGCGATCAGTGGAATTCGAAGGCAAAAATATCGAACTTAAAAGTATTTTTTCTCGTCACAGTGAAGTTGAGGTAACGTGTTTGGTATGCCCGGCAACAGTTCACGTTCAGAGCAAAGGATTTGCTGCATTAGAACAACACATGGGCACGGTTAAACATAAGAATCAAATGAAAACGAAATTCAATGAATTGCAACAAAAGTTGGATTTTGATGTCGCGTCGAATCAATCGACAAGTAGCAGTTTGGAAGCAACGAAATGGAAAATGCTTGCACCGAAAGAACAAACAACAAGAGCGGAATTATTAATTCTACTCAACGGTTTATCAAACAACTGTTCGCTAAATGCATTCGATAATTTGGGATCTGTGTTAAAATTCGCAATCAGTGACTCAGAAATACTTAAATCGCTTACATTGAATCGAACAAAGGCAACCTATATTTTGAACTTCGCGCTCGGGCCGTATTTCTACAAGAAAGTGATTAAGGATATCAATAGGCAGTTGTACTTCACACTGCTGTTCGATGAAACTGTAAACAGTGCAAACAAGAAAGAACTACAAATCCGCATTCGCTATTTTTCTAATAGTTTACAGCGAGCAGTAACGCGTCACCTGCAAACATTTTATTTGGGCACTGCCACAGCGAAAATTATCGTTTCAAAGCTGATTCAAGCCATCAATGATGCCAATCTGTCGATTAATAATTTATTAATGCTCGGAATGGATGGACCGAAAACCAATGATCTTGTAAAGACAACAATCAACAATGAATTGCTCGTGAATCGCAAAGTGAATTTGTTCGATATTGGTTCGTGTAATTTGCATGTTGTTCACAACAGTTTCTCGAAAGGATTGAAGGCTTGTGGTGATAAATTGACGGGCTTGATCATTCAGACATTCAACTGGTTCGACGGATTTCCAGCGCGGCGCGAAAAATTCGAAAATGTGTGTAAACAAAAAGAAATCGAATGCAAATTATTGATTAAACACGTCGATATTCGGTGGCTTACGCTATTGGCGGCAGCAGAACGGTTTTTGTATTTACTGCCAGCAATACGATCATATTTCATGAACATGAAAAAAGCTGAAACGAAGGGCATTCATTACAGAAACATTTCCGGATATTTACGAGGAGCAGGAACAAATGACGTTGAATTGAATCTCTTATTGATAATTGAGAGCGCCACCTTGTTCAACGATTTTCTTGTGAAATTCCAATGCACTGGAACATTAATTCACACAATGTTTGACAGTTTGAAAAGTTTACTTTTATTGATAGCAACCAAAATCTGCAAACAGTACGAAATCGACATTGATATTCAAACGGTTATCAACGCAGAAAACTTACTTGATCCGAGCAAAATCATTTTATCAAATGCCATCAAAAATCGAATCGATAAGCTTAAGCGCCAAGAAGACGATGAAACTATTGAAGGATCGTTCAAAAAGTTATATCAACAGCATTATTTAAGTGCCGCGCAATATCTCATCCAAAAAGTTAATTGGGAAAATATTAAACTGCTCCGAATTTTATCACCGGCATACCTATCGAAAGAGCATATCGCTGACACATTGATCTTGGACAAAATATTGGAACATATGGCGGAAGATGGCAATATGAATCACAATAAATTGCGTGACGAATATAAATTGGTTAAAGTCGAAATAAAATCAATGAAACAAGCTGATGTGGTCAACAGTGACAGAGACGTAGATTCATTCTGGGCTCAGTTTTTCCAGTCAAATGGTGATAAATATCCACATTTTAATCACTTCATGAAATCGCTGCTATCAGCTAGCCATGGACAAATGGACGTAGAAAGAGGTTTGTGTACATTTAGTGGTTTTGATTTTGTGCATTTAGTCGATTGTTAATTATATATTATGGTTTCATTTCGATTGTAAACAATGTTTTTTTTATATTCATTTTTAAAAGGCTTCAGCTCGTCTTCTTTGATTTTAACTGAAGATCGTGCGAAAATGAGCGAGCTAACGTTGAATGCGCGAATTAACACAGTAGAGGCAATCAGAAGCGTTGGAAATGATGTCACAAAAATATTCATCGACACAGATCTTATCGCAATGGCTCAAAATGCACGCAAACAATACCAAATTTATTTGGATGAAGAGAAAAAGAAACGAGAAGAAGAAGAAAGAAGTAAACAAAAACAAAGAGAGGCGATCGAGCAAGAGCAATTGGAACGCAGTAAACGTAGACTCGAAAATGATGAGTTGACGGAAAAAATCAACGAAGCAAAGAAACGATTTGATGATAAGAAATCGAGTATTGATGAGATAACTAGTGCTGCAGAAAATATGTTATCTACTGGATTAAAAACAAAAAACTTTGAAACAATGACAACCGCACAAGCTATGTTCGACAATGCAAAAAAACAACGCGAAGAACTACAAGCAATTCAAATCGAAATCGATAATCTGTCAAGAGCTAAAAGACAGAAGTCCGCCTTAATAAGTGGTTATTTTTCAAAGAAATAATGACCCGTCATTTTTTGCAGTGTCGAACATCGTTTATGTTTATAAACAAATGATATTAATATTGATATAGATCATTGGCATGCACTGTTTTCTTATTATTCATCAATAAAAAACGAAAAGAAACGAATATATGTTTATTGTTTGACCTTAGGAACGATTTTAATAACGGTTTGTATAGATATTTGCACTTTTCTTCGCTTTCAGCTTTTTTTGCTATTTCAAATTTTTTTTTTGCTTTTTCGACTATTTTTTTTTCAAAATCGTGTGGCAAGCCTGCATAGTGCAGCATAGCACACCAATACCGACATAACAAACCACACGCACACAGACACGAATGATATTTCGTCATAATCTGTTTTGAATGCTGTCGCTGTTATTCTCGGTAGTTCTTTGCGAAACTTACTAGAGGCGCTACTAGTATGCAATAGCTTGACTGTTCAACAACTAATACATTATAAGTGTATAAGAATATTCCGACTTTGAACAATACCAATAATGTTTCGGAGTGCGATTCCAATTCAAAAAATTCAATGCTACACAGTAAACACGATGGTTCTAACTTTTAGAACCGCAATATGAAATTTGGCACTAAAATCCATTTGAGTACCATTTGTACTAGAAAAAGGTCAAAATGTTCTAAATCAAAAATCAAAGTTCCATGTATTTATTATAGAACTTTTGAACTTTTTCTAGAGCAAATGGTATTAATGCCCGTTGTAAGTGTTTCGGATTTAATTAAATCCAAAAATTTAATTTTCAACTTTGCGAAAACGGTCAAAAAATGAAAGCTTATAAGTCAAAGCATAAAATTTGGTCGAAAACAAGAAAAATTGATCTTATGAGTACACTCGATATGCGCTATGGGGCTTTGAAATCGTGTTTTTCCCGAATTTTGTTAAATCCTAAAGATTTAACTTTCAAATGCGGGATTTAAGCATTTTTCACGCAAAACCATGTTGCAAATAAGTCAAAAATTGTTGGAAATGACCGAAAAATTCTAAATCAGCAAAAACCCAACCACAATATCATTTTTCGTATATTCTCAACATTTAATTTTCAAATGCGTGATTTAAGAATTGTTCACGTTGAACAGTGGGTCAAATAAGGCAAAAGCTGTGGAAAATGGTCCGAAAAATCTAAATCAGTAATAAAAAGCAAGCACTTTTGACCATTTTTGGGTTCAAATAGGCAAGAATATCAGTTTACGGAAACCCTCAGTATTTCACTTTCACATTATGGTGAATTGTTTTGGGAAATCTCGTTTTTCGACAGTCTTCCCATCCAAAACTTCTAGCCAGCTTCAAATCAAGCACCGAAAGACATATCTGTGGCTTGTTTATGGAGATTTCAGGTCAGCACAAGATTTAGATAGGTAAATGAGTTTTTTATGAAACCATGAAAGTAAAATTCCAATAGAAATCCCATTTGTGATATTCCAAATGTCATGAAACTTTCTGGATCTTATTTTTGTACCAAAAAATTCAATCCCTGAAATTTTGAAGCCAATCGAAAGCAATTTACGGTTACCTTCCATACAAATTTTCTTATTTTCTTCATAAAATTGGCAAAACAGGCCAAATTTGTACGGGAGCTACCCGTAAACTAGGGGCTAACCACGGATTTTTTATTGACAAAATCTGTTTTTATCGCCCAATTTTAATGACATACGTAAAAATTTGAAAAAATCTGTATATATTGAATTTTATCGTTTAATATCGACTATAAACGTTTAATGTGCTGACGTCATTACCGATTTAAAAATGCTGGAAGTGGGTTTTGGTGGATCCCCAGGATCGTTTAGTACTGCTCCCGGTTCTGGAAGTGGATCCTCAGGATGGACCAGATCCGGTTTGACCGTGGTCCGAAATATCTGCACCGAAAAGTGAGCGGTTTGCTTAAAAAATAGAATTAAAAGATTTACACTTCAAATGTAGCTGTCATCATAAACTTAACGAACGTTGAATGTCAGTGCAAGCGATGGGTGCGCTCAATGCCTTCAGAACAAAATGATCCGAAGTGTAAATCTTTTAATTCTTTTTTTTAATTAATAAATAATATTTTATTTATTAGTTAGCTAGATCCGAATGAAGATTTAATACAAATTTCTGCGATACTGGTGCGAAAAAAGTATACTTTTTCGCGTAGCGCGAATAAAGCCGCGAATAAAGCGATCCGCCCAATTTGATTGAAAAAAGTGGTACATTTCTGTTAGAGTATTGTAGGAAGATGTTAATTTTATGAATTTCTGCAGTGCACAAGAAAAAAAGTTATTTGTACGGTTGGCTCTTGGTCTAAATAATGAGACGAAGAAAAAAAATTTATACGATATATTCGGTTTCCTTTTTTTCCTTTTTCTTTGCTTTAATACGCTTCTTTTCTTATACATTAATTTTATCATATGTATATAATACGCTTCGCTAGACTCGGGTACTTGTAATTCTCTTGGTGGACTCTGTGTTACAGGCTTGTCACAGTTTGAATTAAATGATTCGAATTTGAAGGAATGCTCAATTCAAATCATTTAATTCAAGCCACATACACCATTGGTGTTTTTTTTAATTTTGTTAATTTTTTTGTGTTTTTCGCTTTTAATGGTTTTTTTCGTGTTTTTTTTTAAACTTTTATATTATTTTGAACTTACCTTTTTTCGTTTGCACAATGCACATCATTATCACTTTATATACACTATATGATGAATATGTTGAATAAAGGGTAAATTACGTTTTGCATTAGTGGGAGCAAAAAGCATGGGAACCATTTTGCAAACAAATAAGGCAATTTTTCTTGTCTTCGAATCTTCTTTCTTTTCACCAACTGATTCATCCGCCTCCTCATCTCTTTCAGCCAAATTGGGTGGGCTTCCATCTTTAAGTATATTTTTCAATGTAGTGATAATAATATTGATGTCGTCGTCGAATTTATGTAATTTCTTACTTTTTGTCGAGGGTTCTTGTGCTGACTCTGGATCCACTGAAAATTGTCTGTCTTCTGCTCTCGGAATATTCTCAGCAATTTTGTTTCGATTGCATCTTCCGTGAGTCATTAGGTAGCTTGCAAGTTTACCTAGGGCACAATATTTCCCCTTGCATCCGACAAATTTGTAATTGTTCATGATTTTACTTGTTTACTTTTACTTCTACTAACTTGTTGTTGAAATCCGTTGCCAGTTGTTTGTTGTTGTCGTTCAAGTAGTCGCTGTTCGCTGAATTTCGATATTTTCCAACCGTCTCTAGACCTTATCTAGACGAGGGATTCACGGAATAATAGCTTTTTTTATTGCTCGAAATGTATCGCTTTTGGTTGGTGTAGGGTGCACCATATATCTCCGCCCTATCAAGACAGTCGCTAGCAACACTGTCTTCGGACAAAGTTATTTATTATTCTGTCTTGGAGCGCTTCTTTGTCCTCTTGTGTTTGCATCATAGCATTTTGATTTTACCAGAAATATTTGGATTATCTAAATAAATCAGCTCTTTGCCTAGGTTGGAGATAAGGTGGTTGTCTGTGGTCGTCGTATTGTCGAGAAAAAATGATTAAATTTTAAATGAAATAAAAAACTTACCTTACTAATCCTATATCAGCAATAATATCCAATAAGCGGTTGTATTCGCTGAAGTATTCTTCATACCATTCTTTTGTTGAATTTGGACTTTGATCCGTATTTAAAGAGACAGCGTGGTCGTCATTCGAGTGATTGCTCATTCGAAAAGCACTTCTGTCTGACGAATCGAACTACGCGAATCTATCTAATTTAATAACTAATAGACCAAGAGCTGTTGAACAGAGTACTATAAATGCAAGCTTTATGTCAGATAATGGAATTGTAAGTGCACATTGATGTAAATATTCAACATATCATATTGTTTTACCTTCATTTGATACATGTCACAATATCTGCTCGCCGATAACAAGAAAAAAATTGCTTCACTTTTCGCTCAAGCTTCATGGCAGATTTTTTGATTACTGCTAAATTCGTACAAGAATAATTCAAACACAAAAATCTGCTCCAAACATTGTACACAACAGTTTTTATTTCACATCAAAGTCTCATTCAATTCAAAGAAGTGAGGTTATGTGTTTATAATGCATTTTATCCATTTTGACATGATTTTAACATGACCTCACTGCTTTGAATTGAATGAGACTTTGATGTGAAATAAAAAATGCGATGCATTGCGCGCCCGGTTTCAGAAGGAAACCAGTTTGAGTGCATGCAAAGTTTTCATAAGGATGTTGAAGTTTGAAAATAATCAAAGTAATCATATGTTTGGAAATGTAGTTGAAATAAAATAAAAACGTTCATTCACTCAAAGAACTCAAAACATATTAGTTCTATTTATTTTATCTTTCTATTCCAACACCAACAGGGTTATGGGCCCAGGAGACGTTTAAAGAAAAGATAAATAATAAAAAGTGAATCAAAATTAAAAGAAAGGAAGAAAGAATTTAATTTTAAAATAAAAAAAAATAAAAAAAAATTATGGAGAAAATTGGTATTGAAAAACTGAATAATCAAAATTATTATTCATGGAAATACAAGATGGAAATGTTACTGATTAAAGAAGAAGTGTGGGAAGCGAGTGGTGGGAAGTGGGAAGTGATTCGAGAAGAAACACCTACTGGAAGATTACAAACTCGTTGGCAAAAGAAATATGACAAAGCTAGAGCGTTAATTGGACTTTCAGTTGAAAATTCACAATTAGTACACATTCGAGATAAAAATACAGCGAAAGCTTCACAGCGTTTGGTTAAGATATCTAACTTAGATAAGATATTAAGATAAGATAAGATAGATAGTATCTATTATCTTATCTAGATAATTTTTCAAAAATGTCGAAAATCTTATCTATTATCTTTTCAGTATTTTTCGACTATCTATCTGTCGTTTTTTAGATAAAAATTAAGATATTCATCAAGTAATTGTTTCAGAGATCATTTGCTAAGCGAGATCAAGAAATGCAAATTTAATGCGATGATTTTTAAATCGGATGCTATTTAAGTGCGAAAATCTATGTGCGAGGCAAACTCTGTGTTGCGATAAAAATGCGATGGAGATTTAATGCTAGCAAAATGTGACAAGCAAAATCATTCAAAATTCATTGCGATGCTAAATATTTCAAAGGGATGCGATAATTTCTTTGTTCTATTCTT